ATGATGTTGGAAACTGAAATATATTTCCAAAATGAGAGTGATGTTACACGAGTTTGATCAACATCTCTAAAAACGAAATTTTTGAGCGAACGTTTTCATCCGCTGCAATGTTCTTAGTTCTCGTGTATCCCCTTTTCGATTTGTTCAACCTTGAATTTCGAGATCAAACTTTTATTAGTTCCAAAGTAACCGCTAAGAATTGAAAAATATTTTTCTGCAAAGCACAATGGAAGTTCATTCTATGGAATAAATGTTCCCTGTTTACCGAGGAGATATATTATGTTCACACACGTATTCTAAATGGTTTATATTCTTTCATTTAATATATACTAAATAGGCTATAATAAAATGCTCAATAAATTGATAAATTTAGTGGCTAAATACTATTCACGTAATCTCCCTTATCTTGAAAGAACCTGATTTCTATTCTAATAAACTTCCAAATTAATCTCGAGGTGTGCGGCTCGTTGAATAGGCATTTGTGATTTTGCAGCTGATGCATCGCCAACCGTAGTCTATAGATCGAAAAAGGCGTACATTTTGCAATGAGATGTGTCTAATAGAAGTAAGGACATAACTGGCTAATAGTAGAAATATGTAGCATCTGATTTGAGACAAAACCACATTCAATCCCATGAATCAGACTCAAAATCCTAAGCTTTAGGCGGAATAAATGTGATGAACATCAAGTTGTTGTACGAGTTTGATCAAACCTTGTAAATGCATCTATCTACATGATAATAGCTATCCAGAAATGCTTCAATTTGCTACCAAATCAACAAATCGTTGCGTCGATTTCATTCGCTTACCAGTCTTTGGGAAAGCAGACCGAGAGAAACACGCGCTTACCCATACACACACACACACGTCAAATTTCGCTGAATGAATTTGACCAAACGCGTTGGAATAGGTTTGCAAACGACATATATACGTTAGTTGTTTTGGCTTAATTGCTTGGCAGGAAAATATTTTCGATTTCATCGCTTCTACCACATTTCGATTTTCGAGCAACCGGGCTGGGTGTGTGCATGAACCTATTTGTCTGTGATATCGAAGCAAGGCTTGTGCTTAGAAAAACAATCTAAAATATAATATATATTCATTATGATTTATTGGTGCATACACTAGGATATATGTCAATTATCTATATTGGAAGGGCGTTACATACAGCATCTAAATTTATCAGCGATATTGACGAAATGCGACGACTCTGCTGATGATCATGATAATGTTCCGGAGTACACTGGAAATCAGGTTGATGCTGCTGCTGCTGCTGCTGCTGATGATGATGATGATGATGATGATGATGATGATGATGATGATGACATATATCTAATAAATCGCTATTTGGTTTTACTATAAGGTCCAGTTTATGAATCCTTGATGCACAACTAGTTTTGGAGTGTTGGTTAATGGTATAATGTAACATCCTATGTCACATATCACGTTGAGTCCTACAAACGAAAGCCGAGGTTGTGCTATATTGTGTAAATTAAAAATGAGACACGGTCTGATTACTTGTCCGGTGAACGAGTAAGTAGAATGCCTGCGATCTAACTGTGAGTTCTCGGGTTCGATCCCTAGCTGGGTCGATGGATTCGCACTACAGATGATACCCAACCAGGTCGAAACATCTGCCCAGTTTTTCCCAGCTATTCCGCTTACTCCTCATTTACACAACGAACTCTTCATGTAAAAACCGGTTTGTTCTTTATTGTTTCCTGAGCTACTACGTAAAACATCCGTCTCATTTGTTTTTCTCCGATTATCAACATATTCGTTAGTCGTAGCTTTTTAGAAGAACACAACTCCTGGTGCCTTTTCGCCTATTTGTTTTAAAGGTTCATGCGCCCCCAAGGATACCAAGGATTATATACCACTCGAAGAAAGATGAAACGTGCAGTGGTTACCCAATCTCGTATTATGTAAACTAATGAAAGACTGAAGACATTTGAAAACATGTAATTCATGTAACCCAACTTACTGTTGCCTATAAATCCTCACTGATCAAATACCCCGTACTACCTTAAAATTCAAACCCAGGCATGAATGACGCTGTATACCTATGTACCATTGAATTGTCCAAGCGGCTTCTGCTCTGTCGATTTTGTAGACAAAAATGCAGTGTTTATCGATCGGAGACTGACTGCAGTGCGGTTCGTCTTGTTTGAGATCGAACCAGTGGAATGCATAGTTTGCCTAGACTCACCACACTGTCGGAACTATTTTTGCCTCCTTCACTAATCCTCAAAACTCGCCTGATTTTCGCTTCCTGTTGTTGTTGTTGTTGTTTTTGGTGCTTTTTAGTTGTTGTTGTCGTTTGATCTAGGCGTTCGGGTGATACTGCGAAATGCAAACGTTCCAACGTTCTTACTCAGACTATCAAGCTTGGATTAGCCCTTCTCGATTGTTCAGAGGCACCAGGCACTCTTGATGGTCTTCGATGTGGGTACGCACTGCTGAAGAGTCCCAAACAGGACGAAACAGATGCCCAGTGTTCTTTGTTGATTATCGCAAACATTTTCATCGCATTTGAATACTTCTTACTACTTCCTCTTATCTCAAATTAAATGGAGCTAGTATTCATGCCCGGAAATCTTCACCATCTTGAACCGTTGTATTTAAATATTCCGAAACCAGGATGAAAAATATATCAAATCATTCCTAGTTGTTTGCCCCTCCAAACTGTATCACGTTCAAAACATTCACTGTATATACCATTTTCAGCTTGCTCCACTCAGTTATAAATTGCCATGATTAATTCAAACCAAACAGGAATTACATCTACTTGATATTTTTTGTAGGTTACATTGCAATTCATGAGTTAGAATGCAGAGAAACAACTTGTTTTTTGTTGTTGAAATGGTGGTGTACGAGCGTTTGTCAGATAGCAATTCCGTTTGGAAACCCTAACTCACAACGCCCGAGCTGAACGGAAATCGAAATAAAACTCTATATTCTGATAGCTGGCTTTCAAAATGCAATCCAAAACTCACATCTCATGAGACACCATGTCCACGTTCAATGTGTGTGTGTGTGTGTGTGAGATATCGAGACAAATGCATTTGTTGTGCTAGGTGGATGATTCGATCAGAAACGAGATCCGACGTGCAATAGTCAGGGTTCATACCGTTCAAACGCGCATCGGTTTCACGCGATGATGACATTAATTAAGCTGCACACTTGATCTAACGCAATCACAGAGATATCTCTGTCTTACGCTTACACTTTGGATAAATCTGTTTCGTTTCGGGTTCTTATGTGTGATTCACGCGTCCTCCAAACGGAACGTTACCATTCTGACCGAGTGGAACCGTTTGAGTTGTCCAAAACAATGTCACACACCCCCCTCTCCCCCGCCCCGTCAACGGTGTGAACATTGCCATTTAGTTTTGTTGTTTGCTGAAGAACTTTGCTATTCTATAAATCATTCCCCGATTTCTATTGTCAATTTCAATCCGAGTTACTTTTACTGGCAGAAATCTGTATCAACATGTGAAAGGACTGCAATCCAAGACGTATATGTGGAGAGACTGGACAGATTTGGGGCCGTACTCCACACAGTATGACCGAATTTACGGGGACTTGATTTTGGTGTATCACATATTTTAGGACTCAGATCACGCTTGTTGTTCACCGTTCGCCTTGTCGCCCAACATTCATCTCCGGCGGGGGGGGGGCACTCATTCAAGTTAATGCTCCAAAACTGTCGACTAGAATGCCGGCATCATTCATCTGCCGTCCGAGTGTGCGCAGTATTTGGAATTCTCGACCACCTCATCACGTTGTTTCCGGGCCCACAATTGATTTATTCAAGCACAAAACGGGTGAATCATTGTCATGTCTTAAATTTTGACATCCATAGCAATACATGAAACAACCGATAACTTGTGATATTCCTCATCTTTTGGTAAATCGATCCATTTGAGCGAAAAAAACCCTTTAGGACAAGAAAAGCTACCGGGTGTTAGTATTTCCAATTGGAAAAATTTAACTTCGCCTTTGATCGCCATAAATCGCAAACTTGCCTCTCTCTCAAATCGGTTACCTCGGCATTGGAGTTTGTGAAACACCAAAATGGATATACCATCCAATCACATATGACACTATACCTCGCGCAGACGTAGCGTAGCGCTTTATTCAAATGTATATATATATATATATATATATATATATATGGTCCGATCTATGTTTAATCTCATATTTACAAAATGTCCAAACTCCACACAGGGAGAGCATCGGAAAAATCAAAAAGTACGCAATGAGGAGTAGGAGGAGATTGATTCACAAATAAACGATTACCTGGGTAATGTGTTATTTCTCAAAGCCGACTTCCCTGCTTTAGATACATGCAAATCAGATGCAGACATATAATCTAAATTGATCGCGTTCAAGTTTGGATTACTATATCGACTGTGTCCGAATGCGGGTTTGCGATCGGAAATCCACGTACTATAGTGTCGATATTTCTCGTTCAACGCGCACAATTCCTTCACTTTTCGTTCAATATCCGAAGTGTCCAGAATCATTGAGTCGTGTACCGGACACAAATGTTCTCCGGGATTCGAATGAACAGCACACGTGTGTTGGGGTTCGGTCCCGTGAATAGGGCATGTTGGGTCCAATTCCTCGGTCGATATCTTTAATATGGAATTGGGGCTCGGTTTCAAATCAAGATCCGTATTGTCAAGAACAAGACCTTTCTCCAGTGACTCCTTTATTCGTTGTGACCATTGGGTTTGCGGTGCTAATGAAGTTTCCCGCATACACGGTGCATTGATTCTCAGCGTGTTAGGCGGTTTCTCAGCCTCAGCTATTGTGGGTTCATACACCAGTTCAGCTTTATTGCAATTACCTTGTTTCAATGTTAGTGTGTAATGATTATAGGGTTTTGAAGAGGATTCCGGTCTACCGGGTCTGTACATAGTGTTGCCTCGGTCAGCTGACGGATCTGATCTATCCGCAGTGCGTGATGATGTGGAAGCGGAGTAACCCATGTCACTGCTAATTGGTGATGAGGGTTCACCAAACATGTGTAGTCGTTTAGTTCGATGCGGGGACAGAATATGCGTCAGATCTTGACCAATGTGACTCGACAGAGTGGGCTTGTTTGAATAGATTGAATGACCAGGAACACATGGTCCCAAGATATCCGGTCCTGACCATGTCGTACTGATTGTCGGTTGTTGCCAGTTTGGAACGGGATAGTTATATTGTTCCGTGAGGTGGTTCATGTTAGAGTTCGAAATCATTGGGTTGGTCATCTGCTGTGAGACAGATGGTACCGATAAAAGGGACATCACATTAGTCGTATCTACTTGTGTTTGGGTTAGCGGATGTGTGACCGCCGGGTTGGTCTGTCCGTTGCTTAGAACGTATGCACCTTGGGACGCGGTTGGTGGAGACGATTTTCGGCGAACACGATGTCGACACTTTATACACTTGTATGTGATGGCTCCCACTATGAAAAACACTATATTTGAAGCTGCTATAATGCTCAAAATCACCAAGTACTTGCCTAGTTCATGCGCTTGCATCACCCCAGGTTGTTCGTTTTGAGTGGAGTGAGTCATTGTGCGTAGTGTTCCCGGTTCCGGGTTCAGATGTGATTTCACATCAACCATAAAATTTTTCCCGGCAGATCCTTTCTGATTCGAAGTCTGACACTGATACGTGCCAATGTCCAGTTGACTGTTCAAACGATGAAAGTGTAACGAG